TAATAAACACAAGAAATGAGAACAAGAAAATAAAGATAAACAATAATAAGAAAGATAAAAAGAATAATAAAATACAAAACATAAAAGATAAAATAGAAAAGAATAAATAATGAAATAAATAAGAAATGAAGAAATAGAAATGATAAAGAATAAGAAAAATAAATAGAATAATATAAAAAATGAATGAAATAATGAATAATTAATGAATACTTCATAGTTCATTAACAAACAAAAGAATAAATAATAAGAAAGAAAAGAATAGGAAAGAGAAATAAAAAAGAACATCAATTAAATCAATTGTCATTTATTTCTAATTCAAATTACATTATATTTCATTTGTTATTATTTTATTGTTTATTCATTATTATTTAAAACAATATCTTGTTATTCTTTCGTTCTTCCTTATTTCTTCTTTACATCAACATGTATAAAAACAACTGATCATATTTTACTAATAGTTGTTTGAATATCTAGTAATGTTAATCATGTACATTCACAAAAGCAATCATATATTATTTTATTAATTGATGTTGGTACAGTAACTGATGTCAGTGAACACAGTTATAAAAACATTCAGATTCAAGTGATTTAACTTCTGGTGGTATTGTATTTCTATATTTATCTCTATCTTTATGTATATTCTAATTTTTTTACAGATATTTCCTTCTCTTTTAAATATGTTGAATAATTAACTTTATATCATACTATTTCTTTAAATATTCTTCCATCATTAAATATTTCACCATACTTATTATAAATATGAAATGTTTCAATGTTAGGAAATAATCTTCTTGAATATGCATTTAAAGGAAATGGATTAAAATGAAATTGTTCCATATTTCCTTGAAATCTTTTAATTCCTATTTCTAAATTAATAAAATCATTAAAATACGTTGATGTTATCACTACCTCATTATATCCTATTCTCATTATTGATTAATTATTTAATTATTCATTCTTCTTTTTATTTTAATTTGAACTTAAAATATTTTTAAGATTTCATTTGATTTTCTTTTTTTTAAATTAAAATAAAACGTAAAAAAAAGAAAGAGAAAGATAGAGAAATAAGAGATAATGATGATACAACTGAAGTCAATGAGACAATTGTGAT